CGTGTGTGTATGTGTGTGCGCGCGCGTGCGTGCGTGTGCGTGTGTGCGTGCGTGTGTGTGCGTGTGTGTGCGCGCGTGTGTGTATGTGTGTGCGCGCGCGTGCGTGCGTGTGCGTATACATACATATATACATTTATTTAATTATTTATACGTTGCATCATGTATCTATACAGTGTGTTACGCATGCCGAAGGCCACAAACACTGACTGCAAACAGCTAAACAGCTAAAACGACCGCCGGCCGCGGAAGGAAGCATCAGAGAGGAAAAGGAAAGAAAAGACACAAGCAAAATTAATTCCAAGAACGATATGTTGGAGATGGGGTGATACATGTGCGTTTAGCCGCAATAGTCTCTTACATAGATAATAGGGGGAATCGGGGTTAAAGTGAAGGTTTAAAATTAAGCATTTAATCTGGAGTGTGGCATGCCAACAAAAGGTGCGCATCGCAAATTGAACCCTCGCTACTTCAATGTGGTGGCACTGCTCTGTGAAAGGTCCCTTGCTATAGCAATGCACAGGGATAGGGCGTGGACACGTCGGCGACCTGTCGCCCAAAGAAAATGACGTAATGCAGACGTTAAGCATTTAACTTGGAGTGTGGCATGCCTAGAGAAGGTGCGCATCGCAAATTGCACCCTTGCTACTTCAATGTGGTGGCACTGCTCTGAGGAAGGTCCCTGGAATATTCTCCTGGCAGTCAACGGGCCTTATCGATTGTGCTAGCACATTTTTTACACTTTTTACAAAAGTAGCACTGCTAGCATAATCAGCATATTTGTATTATTTTTAGAGCACATTACTAGAGCCATGACTTTAATTTTAAGTTCAAGAATTTATGTTTAATTTCTAATATTGATTTTTTCAAGCTTTGTTCGGCCTATTTTCATTTCGCTAGTAATCCAGGCCCTTGTCAAGGCTAGGTAGGGGAACCGGAAGTACACGTCATGTGCTACCACAGTACGTCGCTGCTGCACAAGATGTGGCCATTCTTTGCGAAGAGAAGGAAGTGGAATGGTGGAAGCTCCACGCAGAGCAACATCCTAATTAGTCTTTCGCAGGGGGCGTGGGCATAAAGTAGGTGTTTTGTACCTTACATGCTAGGGCGCTCTCCTAATTATAAACAGAGGTGTACTGATAAAAGTTTATTATGGAAATCTATGCGGAGATACCCCCTAACCATTTTAAATGCATATTCATCACAAAATATAACTCCTCTGGTGAGATATTGCACATGCGCTAACACACTAACGTAGCCAGATTGTGTATTGGCTGGTATACGCAGCGGGGACCTTACATGCAAGGTCTTCCTCCTATTTCTTAAATGATGTTTACTGATCAAATGGTAACATATACATCTATGCTAGGATAACTCCTCTTCATTTTAAATGCATAATCTTTGCAAAATACGATTTTTCTCGAGAGATATTGCGCATGCGCGCGCACCGTGTTAGGCGTGCAGTGCCGTCTGAGGCAAACTTCATAATATAGCTTGCTGCGGGGGAGAGGGGATGGGAGACTGAGGAATGGCAGTAGGGAAGATAGCTGGGGGCGGTAGAAGAAGGAGGAGGCTGAGCGAGGGACATGAGAGGCAAGGGGAAGGACGCGAGGGCATAGCTTAAGTGTTTTGTACCCTACATGCTAGGGCGCTCTCCTAATTATAAACACAGGTCTACTGATAAAAGTTTATTAGGGAAATCTCTGCTGAGATATCCCCTAACCATTTTAAATGTATATTTATCGCAAAATATAACTCCTCTGGTGAGATATTGCGCATGCACTAACACACTAACGTAGTCAGGTTGTGTACTGGCTGGTAGATGCAGCGGGGACCTTACACGCAAGGTCTTCCTCCTATTTTTTAAATGATGTCAACTGATGGAATGGTAACATATAAATCTATGCTAGGATAACTCCTCTTCATTTTAAATGCATAATCTTTGCAAAATACGATTTCTCTCGGGAGATATTGCGCATGCGCGCGCCGTGTTAGGCGTGCAGTGCCGTCTGAGGCAAACTTCATAATATAGCTTGCTGAGGGGGAGAGGGGATGGGAGACTGAGGAAAGGCGGCAAGGAAGATAGCTGGGGGCGGTAGAAAAAAAAGGAGGCTGAGCGAGGGACAGGGGAGGCAAGGGGAAGGACGCGCGGGCATAAAGTAGTTGTTTTGTACCCTACATGCTAGGGCGCTCTCCTAATTATAAACACAGGTCTACTGACAAAAGTTTATTAGGGAAATCTGTGCTGAGATATCCCCTAACCATTTTAAATGTGTATTCATCACAAAATATAACTCCTCTGGTGAGATATTGCGCATGCGCTAACACACTAACGTAGCCAGATTGTGTACTGACTGGTATATCCAGCGGGGACCTTACATGCAAGGTCTTCATCCTATTTCTTAATTAATGTCTACTGATGGAATGTTATCACATAAATCTATGCTAGGATAACTACTCTTTATATTAAATGCATAATCTTTGCAAAATACGATTTCGCACTGGAGATATTGCGCATGCGCGCACCTTGTTAGGCGTGCAGTGCCGTCTGAGGCAAACTTCATAATATAGCTTGCTCAGGGGGAGAGGGGATGGGAGAAGAAGGAAAGGCGGCAATGAAGATAGCTGGGGCGGTAGAAGAAGAAGGAGGCTGAGCGAGGGACAGGGGAGGCAAGGGGAAGGACTCGAGGGCATAGCTTAGGTGTTTTGTACCCTACATGCTAGGGCGCTCTCCTAATTATAAACACAGGTCTACTGATAAAACTTTATTAGGGAAATCTATGCTGAGATATCCCCTAACCATTTTAAATGTATATTCATCCCAAAATATAACTCCTCTGGTGAGATATTGCGCATGCGCTAACACACTAACGTAGCCAGATTGTGTACTGGCTGGTAAACGCAGCGGGGACCTTACATGCAATATCTTCCTGCTATTTCTTAAATGATGTCAACTGATGGAATAGTATCATATAAATCCATGCTAGGATAACTCCTCTTTATTTTAAATGCATAATCTTTGTAAAATACGATTTCTCACTGGAGATATTGCGGATGCGCGCGCACCGTGTTAGGCGTGCAGTGCCGTCTGAGGTAAACTTCATAATATAGCTTGCTGCGGGGGAGAGGGGATGGGAGACTGAGAAAAGGCGGTAGGGAAGATATAGCTGGGGCGGTAGAAGAGGAGAAGAAGAAGGGGGCTGAGCGAGGGACAGGGGAGGCAAGGGGAAGGACGCGAAGTCATTTTGTACATGCTAGGGCGCTCTCCTAATTATAAACAGAGGTCTACTGATAAAAGTTTATTAGGCAAATCTATGCTGAGATACCCCCTAATCATTTTAAATGCATATTCATCACAAAATAAGGCCACACCTGGATGTGGATATCTGTCGCCTGCTTCCGCGTTATGCCTATATATATTTATATATGGGGAATTGGACCTCGGACGTTGGTAGCCGTTGACTGCTATGATAATTTTACTTTGGCCGTTTTTATACGGTCAAAGTGGAGCCGGGCGGGCTGCCAGCACGTGTACATGATAAAATACGATCTATAATATTCACTTTTCTTTTCTCGTAGCATCATACTACGGTTTTAGTTAGTTTCGTATGGTTTTGTTATTCGGCAACAGGCGGCAGTGCGGTATTGAAGATGCTGTGCTCTTGTTTTGCAATGGAGGATAGAATTATCGTCTTATTTGTTTTGGTAGTGATTTTGACGCCATACGAAGTAACAGGGGACTTTCCCGATAGCACATTGTATGTATCATGCAGCTGTATATATTTATGTATCTACAAAGTATATTTTTGGTCCAAATTTTGGCGTCATATACATATAATGATATACTAATGTTACTATGGCTCATAGCCATAGGGTCTATGTCCCCCAGGGCCAGGGTACTGCCAGAACGTACCCTGGGTACGCCACGGTCCGGTATACCTGAACGTACTCTGGTAACTATTTGATATGGTTAGGGTTAGAGTTAGGGTTAGGGAGTAGGCGTAGGCGACTCCCTAGACTCGTTAGTGGAGTAGGCGAGGTACGGTCCGGCATATTAGGTACGTACCCTAGTAGTAGTACCAGGGTACGTTCTGGCAGTACCCTGGGGGACATAGACCCTCTCAGCTATACTATGTCGTCGTATACATATATAATAAGTATTATTGTCTATAATCTATATAATAATATTAATATATATTGAATTTGTCGTTGTCCCGAAGTATCTCCAGAGAGTTAGTACAAATGACATTAAATAACAAAACACATGTGGAGAGTTACATTGAATACTGTGTAGAGAGACATTAAATGAGCAAAAGCATGATAGCTAATGATAATATTGTTATCTTCACTTTCAATTATGTACCTAAGCCTAAGGCTAATAACACCCCTCTTTCATTATGATTAGGTTTATGTCATGGGCCAGAAATGTTGGGGCAGTTCTCCAGGGAAAAGTGTACAATGCGACAGCATTTGCAAGCCTTAGCAAGGTGGGTCTGTGTGTGGTGAAGTTGCTGTGGAAATCATGGTTCTAGGCCCAGGCCTATTGCAGGAGCCTGGTTTTTCCTGGTGCACTCATAATTAGGTTTGGATTAGGGTTCAACCAACACTCATATTCAGCTGTTTGTTTTTGATGTCTAAGTATTTCTTGTACATTTTATTCCCGGTGTCACAGTCGAAGATTGCACCAGTCTGAAATTACCCCAGCACGTTGTGCGCATGCGTCAGTAGCGCTGGGTGTAAAGCGCAGTAGCGCTGGGTAAATGAGACTGCCGCGGTCCTATGGGCACCCAGGTTAAGATATAATTTGCGGGAACAATTCCAGCCCGGTCTGAGATTAAACCAGTCTGAATTTACCTTCCTATGGGCACCCAGGTTAAGATATAATTTTCGGGAACAATTCCAGCCCGGTCTGAGATTCAACCAGTCTGAATTTACCTCTCATTTGTATTATTCACATTTGCCAGACCTCAATCAGACTGTGACCTCACTGCCGTCCTCATTTATTCTAGCGCTACTGGCGAGGCGCACGCATGACACGACGTGCTGGGAGGTAACTTCTAGACACGTGCATATCTCCCGTGTACGGAATAGTCTTCATTAATGCACCAGGGTTTTGTTGTTATCATTCAACTCAAGACATAAACGCTTACGACCAATAAAGGTCACTTTAAGACTGAACGGACTGGCTTGTCACTCTGTAGTTAGCAATTCTGCAGGGTCAGAGCAAGAGAGAAATGGAGGGAAGCTAGCTTGCAGCTATACGTAAGTTATAGTTGTAATAATCATTAAAATAAAATAAAGATCTGTCTTGTCTGTAGGAATTGATTAATGCAATGGAAATGAATAAGAATGCCATGAATTGAATGTATATTCTAGTCTCCAGGAATCGTCGTGAGGCAGGCTGAGAAACTGGGCTGGCAAACTATCTTGAGGTTATAACAGATTGAGCGTGAGTTGAGAACTCGTGCGCGAGAATTCACAGTGTGATTTCTTAGCGGCGCGAGAGTGTGCAAGATTTAATCAGGGACAGTTTTGGTTGAACAGATTGCAACGTCGTAGGTAACACGGGCAACATTTTGGCATTCAGAAGAAGGTTTATAAGTGCCATCTCATCTTTAACAAAGTTTCATCGCGGGTACATGCCACCAACTTGGGAACATATGTGAATGTCGGTGGAGCAAACCTAGCCATGGGACAGCCGGTAGTTTAAGTTCGTGGATAACGACAACTTCATTGGCGACCTGATACAAGTAACTGGCGTGTGCTGTACTGTGAAAAACAAAGCAAAATTGTCAATTGGGGCTGACGTATAAATGAAAGTAAAAAAACGAAACTCGGAAAAAACCAATAACAAAAATAAAAGGGAAAAAAAGGGCTATCATGGCACTTGTCGTCAATGCGGGGGCAAAATTCGGGCCCAGGTAAGGCCAAAACAAAATATAGGTGTGGTTACGTTTCCCGACCGACCTATTTTATTCCAGTTGACCCTAAAACATTTTATTTGTCCAGTTTCTTTAAAGTAAAAAAAAAAAAAAAAAAATGAATTGTGACAGTTCCTGTTCAAAATGCACAACCTTCGGACCATGGTTCGTAAATAAAATATTTTAAAAAGAAAATAGAATGTTTTTCGCCTTACCTACCTACCTATTTTTTTGGCATGTAACGGTAACAACGACTATATTTTTGTTGTTTTGGCCTCTAAATGCACGTTCTTACAGCTGTCAGTGTGACATCTTGATTGCTAACGCGCGTTCTCTATCCGCCAGCGCTCCGACATTGAATTTGTGAATGCCAAGGACATTGAGGAGAACGATCCGACCTTGCAGTGGAGCGATCGCTTCAAGGACAATGTCAGTCTCGATTACTCGTCCGTTCACATACCTCTTGAGATATGGGAAGAAGGTGAGACTGATAGAGTGAGGGAGGGATGGGAAGGGAGATGGAGGAAGGGAGACTGAGTGAGACAGAGGGAGGTAAAAGAATGAAACGGGAGACTGGAGGAAGGGAGAACTGAGTGAGAGCGAGGGATGGTGTGGAAGGGAGATTGGAGGAAGGGAGAGCAGGAGGGAGGGATGGGAAGGGAGATGGAGGAAGGGAGACTGAGTGAGACGGAGGGAGGGATGGGAAGGGAGACTGAGTGACGGAAGGGAGGGAGTGGAAGGAGAGGAGGAAGGGGAACTGATGAGATTGGAGGAGGGATGGGAGGGAGATGGAGGAAGGGGGAGACTGAGTGAGACGGAGGGAGGGGATGGGAAGGGAGATGGAGGAAGGGATGACGGAGGGAGGGATGAAGGGAGACGAGAGACGGAGGGAGGAGAATGGGAAAAGAGATGGAAGGAAAATGAGTGATGGACGGAGGGAGGGATGGGAAGGGAGATGGAGGAAGGGAGACTGAGTGAGACGGAGGGAGGGATGGGAAGGGAGATGGAGGAAGGGAGACTGAGTGAGACGGAGGGAGGGATGGGAAGGGAGACTGAGTGAGATGGAGGGAGGGATGGGAAAGGAGACAGAGTTAGGAGGGTTGGAAAGGGAGAGAGAAAGGATGATAGAGAAAGAGGGACAGAGCAATGTGGGGATGAAGCCAGAGAGGAAGGAAGACAGATAGGCACAGGATGAAGGAGAACCATGAGAGAAACTAGTGACTCGTCTATATTAACTTTCCATTCCCCTCTTTCTTTTTTTCTTATTCTCATTTGCCGCGTGTGCCTTTTTTCTTATTTCAGACCCAGAGATTCTAAACGGATTGAACTGGTCACGAGGCATGGACGAAATGTTTCGGCATAACATAGAGCACGACCATTCGATCATGTGGCAGTATTTTGGCAGTCAGAAAGAACCGGTTTCATGCGCACATCCTCCCAGGTTACGTAGCAACTCCACGACAGATTGGATGCCCCGATCGCTCTATAGGCTCAATCTACCACTGCCACCAAGTAAGATTTTCGGTACAATTTGTAACGACTTTTTTACGTACAATGTTAACAGACCACATTACTCCGTATCTATGTAGATAAGAGTTGTAATAATAAAAAGTAGCAAAGATATTAAAAATCGGACAGATTATTTTATGAGAAATTTTTGATTAAAAATAGTTGATACTGAAATAGTGTCCGCACCATTACTAACTTCAAATCCATTACGCGCTGTTTACTAAACTAAGTTTACGTGTTATGTTATTATTTATGCATACGAATGTTTGGATGCTTGCCAATAATACCCTTAATGTCTCGTAACATTGTCTTATGATAGGCATTTGGTTTTTGCGTATCAGCATAGAACATTACATCTTTGTCCACACAACAAACATTGCAAATCAATAAGAAATTTCTAATGTTTGTCGACGGGACATTCGCGGGCTCGTCTGGCTTGACGATTCTGGATTTCCCCGAGCTCCCCTACATTGGTGGCAGTGGGTATCCTCGAGTGTGGGAAGGGGGCAGCGCATGCAGTTTGGGTACGTAGGTGCCAAGTACCATTAGATACAAGACATGCACATGCAGATACAGTACAATGTACAATACAGGTTCCATTAGGTACAATATACACACGTATAGATAGAGTACAATGTGCAATACAGGTTCTATTAGGCTTACCAGCATAACACACACGTATAGATACAATGCAGTGCAATACAGATTTCATGAGACTTTTCTCTGGGAGTCCCTGTGAGTCGGAGCTCAAGTTACCCGATAGAGAGAATCCGGGTGAATCGTAAAGATATCATGTGTATGGCGGTGTGTTAGAGATGGTCATTTCAGCTGCAGTATCATGTAATTATATAATGTAATGAGAGCAGTCGAGAGAGCAGACCCGCAAGGCAGCGTTGAATTCTCTCCCAACTCCCACACACAATAATTAATTACGTGGAAAAATTAATGTAATGAATAATTAATTGGATCCGGATTAGTGCGAGCGTGCAGGTGGGGGAGGACTGTGGTTGCCCCTTAGCCTGTGTTTGCGTGTTTGTAAGTCTACAGCCAGCGCACCTAGCGGAAGTGAACTGAAACGTGCATGTTCACAAACAAACCAACCAACACTCAAACATTCGCCGGTGAAAACATAACCCCCGCCACGCCCCTGGCGGAGGTAATAAATATTACGTTAATGTACAATTTTCTTTGCGAACAGCGAGCAAGTGGTACATACCGGACGACGAACCCGATATGTTTGATGTGCGTCGTCGACCGTGGTAGGTGGCGGCCATGACAGCTTATTGCTGCAGTAACGTGCTTTCTGTATGTGCAATATATTCTGATGAAATCTGCAGTGTTAATTGCTGCTTTCTTCCCATTAGCAATTATAAAGTCAACCCTGTATGTGAGAGTCAAGTAGCTTTATATAGGCGTGTTTCCCATAGAGGTGGTTTCTGTGTATAACTGCAACTCGAGGGAAAATACGTAAAGTATCCTTGCGTTATTATCCTTGCTTGGCACGTTTCAGGTACATACAGGGTTCCTCGTCCCCAAAGAACGTTCTACTGCTCATTGACACGTAAGTACCCATCTCTCTCTCTCTCTCTCCCTCTATATCTCGCTCTCTCCCTCTCTTACTCTGTCTCTCTCTCTCTCTCTCTCTCTCTCTCTCTCTCTCTCTCTCTCTCTCTCTCTCTCTCTCTCTCTTGCTCTCTCTCTCTCTCTCTCACTTTCTTCTCTCTCTCTCTTTCTCCCTCTCCTTCTTTGACTCTCTTTTCCTTTCTCTCTCTCTCTCTCTCTCTCTAATTTCCTCTAAATTATGTAAAATACTCGACCCTCTCAGCTCTTCATATCCTTTGTAGTAGTACTGCGCTTCACGAATAATGAAAATCACGCATGATCATCACAAATCGATAATGGCGAATCGCTTTTCCGCGCGACCTTTGACTCATGACCTTGACCCCTGTGCAGGTCGGGCAGCACGTCGGGTCAGACGATCGGTCTCATGAAGGTGACGGTGAACTCGATCCTTGACACGCTGGTGGAGGATGACTTTGTGCTCGCTATGGAGGTGAGAGTTGTGTCAGGGAGGGCTGCCACAGTCAGAACCATGTTAGTTACCGTTATCAGTGAGAGATATGCCCTGTGTGGTGGGTGCACTGTTATTCTCCCTCATGCTCCATGCCTCTGCTGCTGCACAGTTCAACGCGTACACGCGCTTCGTCGGCTGCCCGTTCGACGGTGAGGATGAGTTCACACACGAGCAGTTTGAGGAAGCCGGCTGCTGCTTCAACACATTCAAGCAGGCGGACGACAGAAATAAGAAGGTAGGCGCTGGCTATTCCAGTCTGAATTTACCTTCCTATGGGCACCCAGGTTAAGATATAATTTTCGGGAACAATTCCAGCCCGGTCTGAGATTACCCCAGTCTGAATCTACCCTCATTTATTATTCACATTTTGCCAGACTCTAATCCGACTGTGACCACTGCCGTCTCATTTATCCAGCGCTACTGCGCATGCGTCACGCATGCACACGATGTGCTGGGGGTAATTTCAGACCGGTGCAATCTCAGACCGTGGCACCAGAATATCTTCAGTAAGTGCACCAGATTTTCGTGTTCATTCAACTTCAGACATATACGGCTTACGACCCAAGCAAAGTCAACTTTAAACGAACAGACTGCTTGTCACTTGTGTTAGAATCTGCAGCAGAGCTAGAGCAGAAATTGGAGGGCAAGCTAGCTGCACTAAACGTAAGTATATTAGTAATAATAGACAAATAAATAAAATAAAGTATTGTCTTGTCCGTAGGAATTGTAATGAATTGGAAAGAATAAGAATGGCCATGAATTTATTTATTTCTTCTGATCTCAGGAATCTGTGAGGCAGGCAGAGGAACTGGCTGCAAACTACATTGAGGTTATAAAGATTCAGGTGAGGTCTGACATCGTGCGCGAATTTACAGTGTGATTTCTTCGGGCACAGAAAGTGTTGCCAGATTTAATCAGGACATTTTGTTGAACGATTGCAACTTGTAGGGTTACCACGGGGAACATTTTGATTCAGAGAAGGGTTAGTAATGCCATCTCACTCTTTAACAACAGTTCATGTCGGGTACATGCACAACTTGGGAACTATGTGAATGGCGTGGAGGCAAACCAGGCAGGACAGCCTGGGTATTTTAGTTCCGTGGATATCTGACAACTTTCATTGGCACCATTACAAGTAACTGGGCGATGCCTGTTACCGAAAAACAAAGCAAAATGGTCATGGGGGCCCTCGCACTGTATAAATGAATAAAAAAACAAATAGAAAAAACCAATAAAAAATTTTAAATAATTACATCGCGTGGGAAACCGAGAAACTAACTCGTTCTCTTATCTCTTCAGGCGTATTCGGCAGCCGTTCACAGCGTGTCTCCAAGTCCCAGAACCAGGCCAACATATCGAGTCGGATTCAAGGACTGCCTTCGAGCAGCTGTGGGCAAAACTTGGAGAGAGTTTGCGGTGTCATACCACGTAGAGACGTGCGCTTCCAAAGTCGGGGCCCGGGGTAGAATATGGAAATTTGCAGACTTGGCTTACTTAAAAAAAGTTCTATCGACGATGATGTGTGTGTGTGTGCGGTGTTGACGATGTTAGGTAGTGCGTGTGGTTGTGATCGGTAAACGTAGACGTGCGTGCGTTTATGCTTGTGTTGGTGTTGCTACGTGCGTGAGTCGGCAGGCATGTTGGGGCTGTTGCAACGTCACCTGATGTGCGTCTTAAATCATTGCGTGAAAGGCAAGGCGTGCCGTGGCGTAGCGTTCTATTCGATTGCCGAGCATGCGCTTGAGTGCCATCGTGCGTGGCTTGCATCAGGTACATGATGCACGTAAGGCGAACATGGTAGGCACTCCTCGCTGCTCGTTACCCGTAGTGATAAGATGCTAAGGCCTCATAATACTTAAATCCACCGTGTGTGGATGGCAATATGTGTCGGTTATCCTCCGATTAGCAGTTCGATTCGAGTCAAGTTTGTTTCAAGCTGGCATCGTGTATGTAGAATCAGTAATATTACTAGTAAAACTTGTATACATAAGTATAGTATATAGTAAAGCTTATACACATATGGTGGTATAGATATCATCCATGTGCATCTTGCTTTAGGGGTATTAACCAGAAGGAAATGAGTATTGTGGGAGTGCAGAAAATGTTTGGGAGTGCAATTTTACAAGTATACACGGCTTTAAGATAATATTTTAGCCATGCCTACACATTTTTTGGCCCGTTGGCAGTTTCAAACTGATTGTGCAAATCAGCGGCTGCAACCGGCCTGCGCTGGCTCAATATGTTGTCCTTGCTTACCGTTGTTGTCCGTCCGCGTCTCT